AGTAGTATAGGAACATTAAGACTTAGGCATGTGTCAATCTATTTTTGGGTCACTTGATTATATTCTGTCAAAACATTACAGGCCTAAGTCATTCTCGCCTAGATTTTTCAGTAAAACGATTTCATTAAACTTGAAAAAAAAAGTTAGTTGAAACATGATTGTTTGATACATATCGTTCCACTATCAATTTGAAAATTTTAAAACAATGGGTAAAAGTTGGAGATAAAACAAGATGATTGAGATAAGGATGAAAAGACTGTAGCGCCTTGTCACAGAGAAGTAAAAAAAAATAAAACAGTCTTTATGGCTGACAATTTCTATAGTTTATTACACTGCAGCGTGTCAACGAGATTTCACAAATCGCTATCGAGCACATATAGATGAAAATAAATAAAATTAGTTATAAATATTATCTACATGTTCAAAATAATGTTGTAGGCCAACAAATTGCATCAATTTTACGACCAACTCAATGGGGAGAAAACTGCTAGACTGAGACAATGTTATCGATCTCATAAATAGAGTTACTGCCCTTATAATGTATTTCATAAACATTTGATATCCTGTTACAGTTTTATATGTGTAGCCAAAGAAACGCGAACTAAGAAACATTGTTAATAACATAGAATCGAGTTCGTTCACTTCATTTTGTAGATGTCTATGATAAATCTAATTCTGCAGAGAGCACATATTATAAATTATATAACATTCCTCATTAGCTTTCTTCACATTACGTGGTTTCGAATCCCCGGTTGTACATGACAAGGAGTAGGGTCGCCTGTCCAACTTCGTGGGTTTTCTCCGGGTCTTCCGGTTTCCTCCCACTGCTAAAGACCCCTACGCGCAAGCGAATTATTGAAATAAAATTAAAACATATGTTAGTCCCGAAATGACCTAGTTTGTGTCGAGTGGACGTTAAACCCCATTCCTCTCTCTCTTTCTTCACAATACTCTTCTTAAAGATACATTATGGGAGATTCGATAACGAGTTGGCAAAGGCAGATAATGTAAAGGCAATGTGCTGAAAATTTCATTCAAATTGATCCACTATTAACCGAGAACAAAGCGACTGAATTTCCGCCTAGATTGATCATCATTACTAAAGTCAGTACGATAAACAGAATAGTCTCGATTATCCATTTAATCGTTAAATCGTGAAGGGAAGTTATGCAGTAAATCGGCTCACAATCCACTAAAGATCGCAGGCTAGCGATGCCATCTAGAGTTGGTTATGGTCTGGATAGGTTAATTAATGTCTAATTAATAATTTAGATAACATTTCAGGCCTAAAGAAAGAACTGCAATAGACAGATTTAGCTCTTGCATAATGTCACACTGACCAGCAGTGAATTTTCGCTAGGCCGCTACAATCACTGATAAGGATGACATCGATGCGACTTAATGAGTCCCAAATATTAACTTTTTTCTTCCGTCAAATTAAATTCTAAAACATTTTTTTCATTTATTAGAAAATAAATAAAGAAGTTATTTGTAGGTAAAAATCATTTCCTATTTAGTGTAAATGGGTATTAAAATAAGTAAAATTCACCATTTAGCCAGAATCAGTAACGTCTTATTTAAACAATTGACGCGTTATTGAGCCAATGATTGACGCCGCGTGATGTGACGCCACGTGTCGAAACAGTTATCTGTTACAGAGATGTTAGAAGATCTCTGTGAAACAGATTGGCATAATGTATGTTTAATCTACGTAACGATGCGCCAGTTGTTTTCGCTAAAATATCAAACTTCTCACGGCACAATTCACGCTAATTAGTTATTTAATACTTAAATAAATTGGCGACCGGCTTATTACATAGCGAATTAGCATAGATTGCTGGAATTTCAATTCCACATATCTTTGTACTTACTGAATGGAATTGGGCTATTTTTAGACTCATATATTAGAGATTCATCTATCACAATATTGCAGTTTGCAAGTGATTCTTAAAGCGGACAAATGGCGGATCGGGACTTTAAGCCTAAATGTCTGCAATTATTCACCGACGGTATCCCCAGTATTCATCTAGTCAGTGCCGGACTGGGCCCACCTGTCCACCTGTCCACCTAAGTTCATTTAAAAAAGTGGGCCTAAGCCTATAAATAAAAAAGAAAACAGAGATAGAGAAAAAGAAAAGAGAAAGAAAGGAGGGGGGGGGGAGAAAAGAAAGACGGAAGGAAGGACATGTCATTCTCTTATTTAATTGTATCAGGAAATCAAAAATTTGCCTTCTGCTTTGGTCTGAAATGCTTGGAAAATGGGTTTGCGGTTGTCAATTTTCAAAATTTTTCAGGGGGGAGAATACCCCAGACAACCTCGGACGCTCGCGCGCATTCGGCGCGCTCGTGACGCGCCAAATTGTGTGGGCCTTGGTCAATGACCTGACAGGTGGGCCTTAGGCCCACCAGTTCGGCACTGCATCTAGTGCCTAGTAGTGGAGAAGAACGAAAAGTCGACTATGGAAATCGGGGATGACAATGAATAATAGAAGAAATGTGTCTCAAATTCCTACCTCCAATTTTGATTCAGGTCAAAATAAAGTACTGAAGCGAGTTATCTCATTTCGATTAGTAATTAGTGAAGATGTGTACGAAAAAACATAGTTTCCAAAGATAAAGAGGAAGCTGGCCTGCTTACTGATATTAGTTAGTTTACGGTGTTGACAGTGAAACTTCAAATCTCTCCCCTAATATATGTTCAATGTAGGCACAGGTCGTCACCCCAGAAAAGAAATAAACGCATGGAATAAATGAAATCGAAATCTTTACGTTTAACCCAAATCAAGAGGTAAATTAAATTAAATCAATTAATTTCATATATTTTAAATTAAGTGCTGACTTCAAATTAATATGTCAAAAACCAGTTATTATTAATTTAACATTTGGTTTATGTATATAAGCAATAAGCATGTATACCCGCTTCCCATATCACGCAATATTTCGACCAAGAAAAGAAATAAACGCGTGGAATACATGAAATCGAAATCTTTACGTTTAACCCAAATCAAGAGGTAAATTAAATTAAATCAATTAATTTCATATATTTTAAATTAAGTGCTGACTTCAAATTAATATGTCAAAAACCAGTTATTATTAATTTAACATTTGGTTTATGTATATAAGCAATAAGCATGTATACACGCTTCCCATATCACGCAATATTTCGACCAAGAACATTAGTGTTGTATTTTCGCAAATATTTAGCCAGTGTATTAAATTATACAAATGATTTAACACGCGATAATGGAGATCTGTAATTAAGTCGTCTCGAGGTTTATATATTATTTAATCAAACAATATCAGATTAAGAGACTCAGAACGAGTGATACGTTACGGTATAGTCAATAGAGACTTTTGGCAAGTGTAAATTCCTGGTCCGTATCACGTATCCGTAACGATTTTGCGTGTGACGTCATCAATGCGTGTGTATTTCCCATACGTGATACGGCACACGGATACGGCAGCACGCATCGAACAGCTTTTATACGGAAAAGGTCCGTATAACATCGTCGTCTTTTTACTGTATTGTTTGCTACTTTTGGACGCTGAAATGTTGTGCCATAGCGTTTTTTATGAATCTATGTGTATCCTAGAACACGAAGGTGTATATTAAGATGTGATTTTAACGATGATAAAGAGAGAAGGAGAAATGTAGTTTAAAGTCCACTCGACACAAACTAGGTCATTTCGGGACTAACATATGGTTTAATTTTATTTACATAATTCGCTTGCGCGTAGGGGTCTTTAGCAGTGGGAGGAAACCGGAGGACCCGGAGAAAACAGGCGACCCTACTCCTTGCCACGTACAACCGGGGATTCGAAACCAGCGATGATAAAGACTGGAATTTAAGCATTACTTTTGATGAACTTTTCGCGGACTTTTCATATTTTTCCTGATCTACGTGCTAAATTTACGTAGGTGGGACCTTGCAAATCTGTAAATGACGTGATTCTATCGTAGAGGGGGATAAACTTTCTGAAATGGTACATTAGTGAAAATAGAAATTGTTGTCGAGTCGAAGTCGAGCGACTTCACTCCCTCCAGGAAATTGTAGGCTATGTACTTGACTAGTACTGATATTGATCTTGGTAGATAACTGCCATAATGCTGTAATAGAACTACGCTCAGCTCAGCTACCCACACGTACGCGGCGCGAAAATCTGCCAAAAGTCTAAAACTACATTGACGCAACGTATCACGGATACGCGATACGGGTGGAAAAAATTCAACTTGCCAAAAGTCTCTAATATTCGAATCGATAGTATTACATCACTATTGGGTAGGGTAAATCATACAACTGTTATAAGGGACAAATGGTGAATTTACTATGTTGACGTCCAACCGGAAAGCAAAAATTTGGTGATTTTACAATTATTTTCATTTGAAAGTTCAAAACACCACCCGTTTATGTGCAGATAGCTAATAAAAGAATAGCACAGCCTTGTCCAAGCTATTAAACACATGAAACAACTATATTGTCAAGTGAAATTTTTTGTTGTTGTCAAGTTGAAATAATAAAGTTTAGCAAAATGGACACATCTAACAGAAGAACATAGTGGAATTTGGCCATTAACCTATATTTGGATTTTGTCCGGGCTGCGACGTTGTTCATTTTACATTATGTCCACTCCGATAGATCGCCAATCAACCCATGACACTCCTATCATAATTAAAGTAAATGTGTTTGTTTATTCCAGCAATGTATTACTTTTAATTTATTAATGAGCCATATATAAGTTGTATTGTTAAATCAAGAATGCTCGACTTAATCTAATCCCACGGTTAAGTTGAGTAACAAATCGCGGTCTTTTATAATGATTAACTGTAAATCCCCTGTGTGATATATTATTGATAATCATATTACATATATACCTCTATATAGTCTATATATCCAGCGATCAACTCTAACCGTAAACCATTGACTTCATTTGTATACGGTTTCCATTAACAACCAACGACGCTTTGTAGTGGTATACTAGTATACATTTATTACCTGGTAGTTCTTAATAATCTCGTGTATTCGGTACTTATTAGATATACTTAGAGACACGAGACAGGTCAACTGAACAACTAACGGTAGATTAAAAGGCTACTCTGTGAATTTAAAGAGACAATTATTGTGTTGGTGACGAGCTATTATGACTTCCCTACAGTTGTTTAGAAATCACGAACATGAACCTCAGGTGCCAGATGAATGGGGAACGGGAAAAGGAAAGGGGGAGACAGATATCTGGTTACCAAAAGCTCCATCATGGCACCAAACGTAAGTACCATAACCCACCAATGTAACGTTATATGCATAAAATGTTTCAATGGCATTGAACTGGAAATATACAGGGAGCCACGGTGGCTAAGTGGGTAAGACACTGGCTCGCTAGCCTGGAGGTCGAGTGTTCGATCCCTGCTTTGGTACAGAACAGTAAGACGTAAACATCTTTCCAGTCATTCTTCATTCTTTTTTTTCAAGCAATGATACAACTGAAGATGCTAGTGCATGCAATAAGGTGGACAAGTGCCGTTGTTTTTAAATAAGATCGTTTGATTTTTTAAAATAAATCTTAACTCGTTCATTGTTATCTGCATTTTATCATTTTTATTATAGTATAATATGCCAGTTTCAGAGTTCTGGTCTAAAAATATGCAAAGATACTATTTTTTGGCAGATCGTGTGGAATGGCACTTGTCCACCTTATTGCATTAGCATCCTAAATTATAAAATAAAATAGGACATTTATATTATATACTTCAATAACAACAACTTAAAATACAATAACTGTATTTCATATAATTATTGTGTCCTCTGTATTTTATATGCAACCTGTGCAAACGCTTGAATTTCTCATCTAATCTATAAACTAAAAATAAGTATAAATAGATGATGTTAGAATCCTGTAAATAATTGGGTTGTAGTGAACGTGTTTTTTTGGCATACAAATAACATTTTGTTGCGCCACAAGAACATTTAAGTTAGGTTTAGTCTAAAGAGATCCGAGTAGGGAAAGCTGAACCTATGACGAATATTTGTATGTAAAATACATAACTTTCTATTACTGCTCGTACAGAAATTCGGAACTTTAATTACCTTTAATCTCTGAGACAATTTCTTTTTAAGCGTGTTGATATTGTCTCGTTTCTTTATTGACGAACCCAGTGAGTTCCAATCTCGAATTGTCGATAGAAAAAAAAACTTTCTACAGTACGGTGGAGGAACGTCACCGCTATTTCTTAAGTAGCTACCACTCTACCAGTATTGTTTTCACAGCTATGGGTGACAACTAGTGGTGAGCTCCATCCCATTTTCAAAATTTCGGCTTCCAAATTAAGCTTGATTAGCTGTCATGCAGAAGAAAATCAATTGTGCACAAATAATCCAAGTAATCCAGATTAATGTCAATATGCCATTCACCACCTCCCGCAAACCCTTGCCTATATGCCTAAAAAAGCAAACATTGCTGTTGGTTATCATGACATATACATACTAAAGATTTATAGGCGTCTTTTTGTTAAAAAAAATATATATTGAACAAACAGACTGTGATCATTTTATGAGCTGATAAAGGCAATGACATATTAATTTTCACGTACATATATAAGTAAATTATATTTTATATCAGTATGTAAACAATCCTGTGATTTAAATGATAGTCAAGTGAAAATGAACAGTTATTATAATATGTCAACAAGTTTTACCTACAGGTGTCAAACTTTAAAAAGCTTTTGTCTTTATCACACACGGTGGTAGTGTACAAATATATTAATCACGTTTATATATATTAAACGCACAGTTAGAAACCAAATCGTATAATGATTATAGTCATAAACACCCAACTATTAAAGCGTGGTATTTTGATAGGAGACAAACGGGGCCATGTTTTTTGATTTGTTTCCGAACTTGCCAGATCATCTTTAGAATTTTCAAACGTATTAAAAAGATTGTCTTGGCCCATGTATGAAGAAACGTATCATATGCAGTCGTGGGATTGAGTTATTGCTCTTGGTACCAAAGCTTTTTTCTTCTACTGAGATTTCTTTACTATCTTTAAGATAATCCGTAAAATTGCAACTACATTTACAGACAAGAAAGAGTCTGTTTAGGCGTATATTTCGTTATCCGGCAACATATAGATTATCTATTACATGTTGTATAGACAAGTATGGCGTTACACTCCATTTCATTTTCATTTTAATTTTATAATCAACGAATTAAAGGCGCGGTTCCTTTTTTATTTCAGAGATGTACCAGTTAAACAGTTTTATGATTTGACACAGCTAAAACGTAGCAATGTTCGAGACAATGATCAGCTGTAAGTACTTATGTGATCATCATTTTCATACAAAAGACCATAATATTCGTTTTAAATTTGTTAAACAGGGTCGACAGTTTTTATCATATTGTTAAACAATAAATGTTGTCCCACTCTCTATGGTTCATCTAAAGAAAAAGGTTGATATCATTATGGAGAAATTAAAACAATTTTGATAGGATACACGTTATGTATAACTCTAATTTATTTATCTTTCAGATTACCAAGACCAGAAGCTTCCGATATGGGGTAAGTTTAGACTATATCTATACGATATATACTCTATTTATCCAAGACAGAGCTTGTCATTTAATAGTCCGCGGGGTTTGGGTGGTCGAGTGGTCGAATGCGTGCGGTCTAGATCATAAGGTCAGTCAATGAGTCAAGTGGCCTTGGCATTGTTTCAATCACAATCTTGTAAGTCACCTATGAGTTTTCTATACGAGCCCCCGGTTTCCTCCAACTGTTAAAGATCCCTTACGCGCAAGCGAATTATCGAAATACGAATGTACCATATTATATTGTTCCCTAAATGACTTAGCTTGTGTCGAGTAGACTATAACCCCCATTTTCTCCCTCTCTCTCGTAATCCTCATTCTGGCCTTGACTAAGAAAAATCAATAAATGAAAAAGAAAATAACCTTAATCTAAATCTACCAAACATGTTTTTAATTTACAGAAGTATACTCATCAACAAGTCTTTTCCTGCTGAACATCCTTATGACTCACATATATCCAGATTTGCTGTTTTCCCAACATTTGCCTCACCCCAAGATCCACATAGAGGTGTCCCATCACTGACTAAACAACCGTTACATGCTGAAACACCTGCTAATTCTTATGATGTACAGATCCTACATAAAACAAAGGGTAAGCCATCGTTAGATTTTGTTAGAGGGATAGGTGGGTGGAGATGGTAGTGGGGAAATGAAATGAAATAGGGTTTAACGTCCTACTGTTCTGCTCTGAACTGGGCTAATGAAGACGGGGATACGCCATAGTGTGCTATGAGGGAAATTTTGCCCGGACAGCGGCACTACGGCCTACTCTTATATCGAATTCCAACTGTCAAGGGATCTTTTACGTGCACGCCAATGTGTACACGGAACCTCGGTTTTTCGTCCCATCCGAACGACTAGACAGCTGTCCTTGTCAGTCCCTCCGTCCGGCATCACTGACAAGGGGGAACCACGCCGGATAATCTGGATGAACTTTCTCGGCCAATGCAGGGATCGAACAGCCAACCTCCAGGCTAGCGAGCCAGCGTCTTACCCACTTTGCCACCGTGACCCACGTGATGGTAGTGGAAGATGAACTTCCAACGCCACTGGACCAAAGGAAATACATGTAGCAGGATTATTGGCAATATTGGCAAAAATTTCGTTTTAGTCTCTCAATTAAACCAGATACCAGAAGATATTATTAATCAACAATAAACAAATATGTACTTAACTCCATCCACCCTTATATCTAATCCGGAAATACACAGGTCACAATTCTGTGATTACAATTACTGATTATTACTGAGTGACTATTCGACCAGGCTTCTATAATCTTTATCAGCCCAATCCCGAAAAAGAATCCTTTTGTTTGTGTACATTGTTAGCCTACTGTAAAGACCAATGCAAAGAATTTGTCACCTCCCTGAAATTTTGAATAACACTGACCTGTTATTTTCGTACCTTGTGAGTGGTTGTAAAGAACATAGTTTATCTCCTAAATCTATAATTTGTGACAAGAGACCAAACAAGATTATCTTCATGTCGTTACATTTCGCTACAATTGTGTACATTTACAAATAGTTGTTTAACACTCCCAAATTTTCCATTCATCGATACACAATTAATCCCACCCTCTTGTTCTATTTATGCAAAAAGTACCTATATGGGGAATTAAAATCATTTGTATAAAAAAGCAGTCTGAAAACGTTAGCCCCGGAATGGTATATTACACGCAGTGTATTCAGGCAGTTATTAAATTACATGAGCCTATATATAAAGGAACAAAAGTGGTTTAAGGGGATAGCATATAAAGCACACATATTAATTCAAAGAACACATATTTCATATTCTCCAGGTTCTGGAATCCGGCATGAAGTTTTGATTTTACCACCAGAATCAGAGAAGAAACCGTTAGTGTGGAATGGTGAAAATCATTTTGATCAGGTGAGTGTCAATGTTATGCAAAATGGTGAATAAAAATATTGCAAATTTGCCTTGACAGCGGTGATTCCGCCTACTTTTCACTAAATTCCCCCCACTGGGGCCGAATCCGGACCATCTCTGTTAGTGAACCAGCACCTTATTCGCTGAGCCAACACGGCTTCAATCATAAGAATACAATTTAGAAAATGGATTCCATTTTTTCAAAATCCGTGAAACTTTTATTGAATAAAAATGGTCCTCACCTAGAGATTACTGAGACGGATAGTATGTCCGCGATTACTATCATTGAAGATCTTTGTAATTGAAACTTCCGGCGATTCACGGAGGAAGGGGGGGGGGGGTATTTTACAGTCTGAACCTTTAATGATGGACGGTATACACTGTACTTAAAATTTTGATGAACTCTTATATTACAGGTTGTGAAGACGCATGGGAACAGACAAACATTTTATCCTATACCCCAAAAATCTATAGCTCCTAATCCACAACAACGACCAATAGAACATCAGATTTCAGAACGTACGGCCGACACGATGCGAAATGTCGAAAGGTCTCAGTGGTTGACAACAAAGCAGTTGGATTATACGGGAATGGGACCCAGCAACACGGTTAAATTAGATAATCTTGATGAGAAAAGGGAGCATTTTACCAATACAGGCGAAATAGACGACAAATTGGTGAGAATGGACTGTATGAATTATTTATAATAGCTTGATACCGGACATCATATCAATTCATTTAGACGACTCTGAATTTTATTTCTAGTACTGAATAAAAGAAATTAATTTTTAAAAAGATTTATTATCAAAGATTAGTTGATATCTATTTTATTTTTTATATTCAGTATCCCCATTTTGCGAATACTTTTGACCCACCAAGACCAGTGGAAGGAAGAATTTCCAGAGTAAATTTGTCACAGACGAAACCAGGACAAGCAGATTCCAACAAACCACCATCATACGAAAGGTAAAGAAAGTATCTTGTAGATGTGTTAAACCTTCAGATCAACATTCCCATATATTCTCTGTTATATTATATGTTTTCATTACGATACGTTTGTTTGAATAGACTCGTTTTAGCTCGTCCAGCTGAGATTTAATTTACTTGTACCCCTGTCTGGATTAGTTGAAGTTTCTCTTCGTGCCACGTCCTATAGGGAATCAGTTGAGAATACTGACTAGCTACCTTTGGTTTTGACAAGGAAGCATTGTGGTCGCAAACATAGAATTTCAACCCAGGATGCTTTTGCTTTAAGCAATGTCATATAACCTGGTAACGTAGTAAACGTGATATTTACGTCAAAAAGCTTTTTTATTTAATTTTGTAGAATGATGACCGAACATGAAAAAGAAGAGAAAAGATTATGGAATGGAACAGAGTATGTCAACCTTCCTGATCTATCTAAAGATCCAAGTGCAGATACAAGATGGCGGGAAGTTGATCAGGCCTCTAGAACAGAACGCATGATTAGTCAATTACAAAAGGCTGCTGGTGACAAGCCACGGATTGATGCTCCATACCCACCCACTGGTCCACCTCCAGAGAAAGGGGATAGTTATCTGAAAGTTTCGAAGTCTGGAAGAGATGAACGAATCCAGGAAATGGAGGCCCAAAATAGATGGAATGTCCTCGAATCCCAAACTCCGCGACATGACTTGAACTCTTTACACTACAAGTACGGTCATTTGAAAGATAAAGAACTTCCTTCAACTTTCTATGATCATGAAAGCAAATATAACGAAGAACGTGCAGATATGTACAAAACGTCTTTCGATCCACATAAGCTAACTTATTCGATGAACAAAGATGAAATAACTGGATCAGTCATAACAAACACTAGCAGATCGCATGAAGATGCGCTCTATTTACCGACCAAAATAAGCCGAGATAACAACATTTTGTTGAAAAGAAGTAAAACCTTCTGTGGTAACACACAGAGTATGAGTGGTGACATTCAAACCCCACGTCAAGTGTCTGTTCCTTACCAAGAACTCCGGCACCAGCAACAGGCTCAACTGCAACCCCTTCCACAGACTGCCAGGCCGTTGGTTCAAGAGAAAGAATTTGTCCTTCAAGAGACTACAATGGGAGAGAGCTACAACACTCCAAAGTTTTTACAAGAAAATAAAACACTTCCTTATTCGAGAAACGAACCTCTCAATATAATGTCCGAAGAGAATCAAAACCTTCGAAGAGTGCGATCAAGATCTGTGCCCAGGGCCAGTAAAAGTGTACAATTTTCAGACAAGGTTACCGTTGCTCAGTTGAACTCCGATGAACCAATAAGGGTCAATACAATAAATTTACGTGGACTAACAGATGACGAAAAGTCTGAACTCGCCCGATTAAAAAAGATCAACGTGAACACAACGCAGTATATGAGTAACCAAGCTGAATGGAAGAAGGAAAATGAATCTGGTGTTGAAGGCAGATTACAAGCAAACCAACCTGAATTTACAGGATATCAGCCATCTTTCTTAGCATCAGCGTCTGCAATACCAAAAATAAACAATGAGAAAACAACAGAAATTATCACCCGAAGTCCATCGACTTCCCGCCGGCCAAGACCTTTAGTTCGAACTCTTATGAACGAAGCTAGTGACGAACTACAATTAAGTCAAAGTGGGCCAGAAACAACTAAAAGCTTACTCTTACGACAGCAACCTGCTACTCCTGGAAGCGAGTACAAAAATGAGTTCAACGGCGCATCTAACGGCATAGTACCAACAAGTCTACGAGGTTCTTCAAGCTTTAGGTCATCTTATCACAGCGAGTTTCCAATCTATCATGATATGACCTTTAAATCGGACCCACGCTTTGAATGGACATCCGCATCAGGAACACCTCGACCACAAACAGCCCTACTTCAGATTCAAGACAGTTTTTCTAAATCGGACATCAAAAATAAATTCAACCGCGAATTTCCCGAAAAAGCACCAGAGATACGAGATCATAATATAATACAAGGTAAAAGACACGTATTTAATGGTGTACATGGGCAATTGATCCATGGATAATGCTTGGATGTTTCATTTATTTATTTCCTGATTAACAATCCTCGACAGGATGAACTGTTCCATCAAGCTTCTATTATTCTATATTGCTTGAGGTATATTGACCGGTTCGTCTTGGTCCATAAAGTTAAAATTCACTACTGTTATGTGTTTTTATGTTCCGAGGACAGAAAGAAAATTTAAGCTTACCTACACCGCATCAGTATTATTTGTAAATGAATTCCGTCATATTTATTATTATTACTATCATGCTCACTGTTTGTTTATTTATTCATGTCAAACTATTAGTTCATAATCTGAGTGCGAACATTTTGTTGAACGAAAAAAAAAGTTAAATGTTTAAATGTTTTGCTTTTGGTGTTGTTGTTATATACATTATCTGTGTGGCAAAACAAATGGGTGCTTTACATTTGAATAAACTGGGGATACATTAAAAACTGGGTTCAATATCGGTTCTAGCCGAGAGAGTGGTGTAAGACGAAGGGCCTGGAAAAGTCTTTTGCATGGTTTGAAAAAACTGAGGTCCACGCTTAACTCATGGAAATCGATAGACGGAAAGGCATACTGCATCAGTATACCCATCTGTATTAGCCTGGTTGGTGCAGAAAAGTGGGTTGTTAAACCCCATTTCATTATATTCATAAGGGAGCAATAAGACATGGTGTAAAAAAAACGAAAAAAAAAAACCTTAAATAAAGTCCGTAAATTTTTTCAAAGAATTTATGTCTTATTGAACACGAATATCGAAATATTAACAAGTATAATGTGATAGGCTAATGGACCCTGTAGCCAATGACTGTCCATACTTCTAATCAGCGACTTTAGCCTATATTCTTGGAAAATAACTTATCTTCGATTTTGCGTTTACCGCCAATTCGACTTATATTTCAAAATAATATTACACACATGTAATAACAAATACCTGTATTAATATGTGTCTATTATAGGATAGATCATAACAAGACATATAAAATCAACAAAACACCGACTGGGAAACGGTGGGGTCCAAGCTTACACAGTCTAAGAAATCCTTCACATTTGACAATTTAGCTAATGTTTTAATCTTTTTACCCCATAAATTATAAAGAGATTAATATTACTTTAACGATCGCAGATTGATCAAAAGCCCAGCCGGTTAGTGAACCAACTTATTTAGAGTTACCTCCCTTCCAATAAATTCAATTCTTTTCCCACTCGGCGAATACCTCTTTTGACGAATTGTTTCTGGTCGTTAAGATGTTCCGTGTAAGGCCTACACAATGGCGTGCACGTAAAACATCCCCTGACAGATGGAATTCAATATAAGTGTGGGACGTTAAACCCAATTTCTTTTCTTTTCCGGTTGGTTTCAGAAAGGCAAGACCCTAAATAGAAAATAGAATTCCGTTCATTCGTTCTTTACAGATAATCGTGTCCTGTGTATTTCCAGTTAAACTTTACAGATCGGAATAGGTCTCAATATCCCGTTTAACTGTACAGGAAAATCTCATCAAATCGATTTTGGGGATTATCTAGTTTAGGATATAAAAATTGGCCAATTTCACTCTAGATAGAAATACTTTGATCATTAAAATAAACCCACCAATACGAGAGACGTAATTACAAGTTACAGGGGAAAAAAGAATGAAATGGGGTTGAACGTATTACTTTCCCGGATAAATAAAATTGGCCTAAGAAGACGGGCATATATACACCATGCAGTGAGTGTTCTATGAGGAAAAATTTTCCTGGGCAGAGGGGCTACTCTTATTTCGATTTTCAACTGTTAGTGAATCTTTCACATGTTGCCAAACATCCAAACAACTAGATGTTTTCCTTGGAGTAGTCTGTTAAGCTACATAGTTTGTTTGGTTTTTTTAAACAGGCAATTAATTTTTCAAATTATGATTCTTAAATCACAATTAGCTTGTTTCCAGACGCATTTGGCACTAAAAGTTAGCATAGAAAAATGGCATCTAGATTCTAGGCCGATTCTCTAACCATAGAATATATTAGATCTCTTGTTTACATAGTTGGTATAAACATTTGCATATTTGGGTAAATGAACCAATCAATTAATTAATACCTTGTTGTCAAAGATATTAAAGACCCGAACTCGCTCTGGCTGGGTAGAACCTATGGCATTTTTAGGAAGACCCATATAACGTTTTTAGGGGTTTTAGGGGTTAATTGTGTCGCGCTTTGAGCACAAACTTAGTTTGTGGATATAGCGCATTATAAATATGCACATTATTAGGTTATGTCTAAAAATTAAGGCTACCTGCAGATTTGGAAACAGGGCTAGTGATAACCCTTACCTACAATCACATGCCCTAACCCTATTTACATCTCGGCAACCATGACAAAACCTGCAGTTGGCTTTAATTTTTCAGACTTTGCCCTGGCAAAGACGCATTATCTGTTCATTAGACATGCCTGAATATGAAACCCATTCTTTTCAAAATATCTGTATTTAAAATCCTATTCTAATTCAACCAGTATTTGCCAGGCAAGATACGCTCACATTTTCCAAGAGATGGACAGAGAACAAGCTAAAAAAAAGGTAATTTTTCGTACAATCAGGGGGTATATTCCAGGAAGTCATGGTCTGAAATGCACAAATATTTGGGATATAAAGATACATTTTAAGTTTCAACAAAATCGGCTAAAAATTGTGACTTCTAGAGGGTCCATAACCTTGGTATTACCATGGACCTTATAATACATATTATAAGGTCCATGGTATTCCATTTTTTTTACACTATTTGCATTGAAGAAAATTGTGACGTCTAGCGGGTCCACAAGATAAAAATGCGATTTTCTGAACAATCAGGGGCCATAATCCAGAAGTTACGTTTGGATATGCGCGATTATCGAAAGGAACCAAGATCTTCGGGTTAGAAACATTTATTTCAAGTTTCATCAAAATCGGACCATAACACAATTGTGACTTCTAGAGGGTGCACAATTTTGTCTGACAGTTTTTGGTCCGATTTTCACGAAATTCGAACTCCGCTAACATTATGGAGTAATGGTGATATGATCGAACGGTGTTTTAAACATACATTATGCAAGAGCTCAAATCTGCATATTGCAGGAACCAAGATTTCAAGTTTTGTCAAAATCGGGTAAATATTGTGACCTGTAGAATGTGGACGGATGCATACTACGTCCACATGAAAATGTGGGCATATAAAAACAACTCCAGGGTAATAGCATGTAAAATATACATTTATTATAAAAAATGTGTTGAAATTGTGTAATAAATTTGTGACATAAAAACAAATACAAAGAATGTGATTTTAGCTTGAAGGACACATCACCATCTCAAATATTGTTTTTTGAAAATCTAATATGGCACGAAAACTTTATTTTCAAATTTGTAAGTTAGAAAAAATTGCATCATTTAATTGATGAATGCATCACTACAAGCAAAAGCCATGGACAGGCTCTGTGGTTTAATTGGTAAAATATCTTAAAAGAAATACGAAATTAAAGATGTGAAGGCAATAAAAAATTAAGATAAAATCAAAAGAAAAAAAGATATTACAATTTAAACAAATCATTGTTCAAAGCTTTGATAATGAATGAAATTTCATGCAGTAAACATCAATTAATAAATAACGCCAAGAACATATCAGAACAAAAGAATATTTTTAAGATAAATCTCTGTATCTATATTTAACTATAATTATTTAGTATAAATCTATTGTTTTGTTTAATATTGCTACAATATAACTGCATAGTTTCTTTTAGTTAAAAGAGAGAATTCGCAAACTGAAACATTGAATCGCAGATTCAAAACATTGAAAACAAAATCAGTAAAATAAATGGGCTATAACCACATTGAACAGCAAAATAATTACTTTTAAAAACCATGCAACTTAAATTTTCATAATATCGAAAAAGACAATAAAGAAAGGCACTGATAATCAGTAACATTACAATGCAAGTATAAAGGTTAGCAGTACATGAAAGGCATTACAAACAAACAACATTCTTTACCGGTACTTTAAAAGCTTCACACAAAATATACTTCTTTTATAAAAATGAAAGATTACAAGGCACTATTCTCTTGGACTGGCAAATTAATGATGTAATATACTGCTCCTAGTACGTTAATTCTACTTGCGGGGAAAAAAAAAAAAGAATTATAGAAAAAAGAAAAACAAGATTTAAAGAAATAAAAATTTGTTGATATTGCCATTATTAGATTAAAAATAATATCACAACTATAATGTATTTGCACAACTTTGATTACTGGTCATTTAATAGTAAAATCTATTTACACTAGTATGGTTTAGTTCATGTGGCTCTTTACTTTTAAAACATGCAGTAGACATTGATATGTAAAAACAAAACACAACACAACACAGTTACAGCCTTGGGCTTAACCTGTTTTTTTTAAAAAAAAAATAATATATATATATATTGCTTATGGTAGATAACTTTAAGTCGAAACCCAGATGTACGAAATCCAAAGTGCTAAATTCTGTTATGTAAATTCTCAATAGGTACGAAAAAGTATTTGAGTTTTTTGGGGTCTGAGGGTTCCATGCCTTAACAAATTTGTAAAATATTGTAGTTTTTCTTGTGTTACAGAACTGTTATTATGTGGTTGGATGCAATAATTAATAAATAAGCAAATGTTAAATTATTCAGGTCTTGATTTTCTTATTTCCATTTTAACGACAAAATAATTTTTCTCTATGATTCAGGGCAATTGCAAAGAAAACAACTTTTTAACAATAATAATAACGAGACATGTTTCACAGTTTAAAACAACGTTTTGGGTTTTATGTACAGATAATATTAATATATCTACACTAGTATATATAGGTTCTACCTACTATTTACATTATATATATGGTTAAAATATATATTTGTATAAAAACATTTAAAGAGTAGTTCTAACTTCTGGTAGAAAAGAGAAAGAGAAAATAGACAGAAACAAATCTACAAATAAATACTAAAAGATCAGGGGGAGATGTTCGTTTACTATCTTGAGAGGTTTCAGTGTTTTCATCGGTAGTAGGTGTACATTAATTAAGATTTTCTAGTCAAACCTAATGTTGGAATGTTAACTAATATTAGAAGTGACTGTACGACTTGTCTCCGAATGAGGTCTAAATTCAAATGAATAAGTTCGATTTAAAGACAGCTCTGACCATTTAAAGGTGAGATTTTCTTTTTCTAAATATATCAGTCAAATGACTATGTTAGAATATAGAAACCTCTGGCCATTTAAAGGGGCAGATTTTCTTTAAAACCGTTAGAATAAAGAAACCATTGACCACCATTGAAAGGTCAGTTTTTCTTTTTCTAAATGCATCAGTCAAATGAATTCCAACCACTACCTAGCCATTAAAATAAATATCTATCTTGTAAAGAATATACATCTTTTCTTCGTTGAGTGGGCAATAATTAATACAACAATTACCATTACACATACACAACATCATTACTATAGGCCTGGTTGTTTACATGGTAACTATGGATACATGATAGTATATTACTTGATTATATGGTATAAAATGTTTTAAGTCTATAGCAGTTAGTACATTTCTTGCAAAAATATAACCAGCACACTTCTAGATAAGGCACACACATTTTGGCAGGTATTTGTGTAGCTGTATGATTCTAGTATAACTTTATATTCCTATGTACAGTTTTAGTTTACAATTCCTCTTGAAGGTACGCTCCTTGTGGTGTCAAGATTCTTGATTCTTCACCTCTCAAAACCAGACATCGAAACCTCAGATGATTCCATAATATTGACACACTGAAGACGACGTCCCGTCTCCATGCATAGACTAATCTCAAATTTGACGGACACATCCCTCTCACTATTTTAAATAGTTTCGCTGAACACGTAGTTTAGAAATCACCATATACATTGTACATGAGCGATTTGTAAAGAGCACTTTTAGGAAAATAATTACAGGTTTAACACATTCTTAAATACCACGACACACTTCATTTACACTGAGCCCACTTTGGTAAGATTCTTCGCCTTGCATTTGTGAACCAGTAATTGATCTGGTTAATTGTGAGTCCTGTTTGTTTGATTAGCATGGCTTTTTCATCATCATTAGGATAAGGGTTGTCTTTGTGATTTCGTAACCAGTCTAACATCATTGCTACAGCCTGAAACAAGGTTAGAAACATTAGTAAAAACTTAAGTGAATAAAAATTTTCACATATGGAATTATAGTTGATTAAAGTTGCAACTCTACATGTGTTGGGTCTTAAAGACAATTTTTTAAATCATTAGTTTGGGTAGTAATGATTATTCTTAGTGGGTTATCAAACATTTTTTTCCTTCACTTATAAAAACAACAAATTATTGTCTTGTGTTTTTGTCAGAGAATTTCATGTTTTTCTAGGTTGCAGTATTACCAAAGTATGCAAACTTTGGCTCAATTTGTCAACTTTGAGAGAACTTTAGAATCCAAATCTAAGTTTCTGTGTGTTTTAATTATTGAATGTCTTCTCTCACAATAAAGTGATATCACAGACTGTATGTTGACTATACAATTTTAGACAATAGGTGCACAATGTGAACAGGGAGAATTTTTGTCCAAACAGCATTTTTTTGGAAACCAATGTCACATGAAGTACAAGTCAGATTTTCTGTGACACCCCTGCATCCATTACTTCCAGGCTTAAACTAGCCTGAAAATTTATTGTTGGCTACTGGTGGGATTTGAACCTAGGATTCTAGTGGAGCTCAGAACACTAAGTGTTTGAACGAGGCCAACCAGGCATAATCATTGAAGACGGAATATATTTGTACATACCTCTTTAGGAAGACTTGGATGTTTCTTAGACTCAGCTTTGTTAATTAAACCTGATGAATTACTATATGTACTACCACTATCACTCATTTGTTTCATCATTTCATACTGTGATGGTCCCATACCAGGCATACCCAATACTTTACCCATACCAGGTGATACATAACCAGGATGTTGCTGAAAAAATACATATAGTATTAAATAATCTGCTTATCTTTTTGTATGCCTTTAATCTATAGATTTTATTACTACATGTACATGACCAAACTTTGTTAACTACATGTACCATACTTGTACTTCGGATTTCTTGTTTCAGTCAAATTAGCAAAATCTGGCCAAGAAATTTACATGTCGGTTTTCCGTCCCATCCGAAAGAATAGATGCTGCTCCTTGCCAGGTCCTCCATCCTGCACCACTGACAAGTGGAAACCAGGCCAGACAATTCATTTAAAGGTTTATTCATGTAAAAATTGTACATATCCAAAGTCGTCCAAGCAGTCCGCAAATGTTGACGCATCTTGAATCTTTAGGTACACTGTATGTAAAACGCAAAATCTTTATACTGTATAATATCTTTGACACATAGAAAATATTCTTTGAATCAGAAATTGTTTTAATAGAATTCTTCATTTCACTAGTCTGAACAATGCATGTAAACTTTCGTGGTCAGAGTAAGGGCTGCTTTATTTCACTAATTTGAGTAATGTATACAAATTTCAAACATATCTGATGATAAGTTTTGGTTTTAGACGGCAATACTATATACCGGAAAACAACCAGAAAAAACAATGTTATACTGAATACCACTAAATACCGGAAAACACCCTAAATAAGTAACAAAGAGACAGGTCCTCTGTTTGCGGATAGTTAGGGTTATCGTTAGGGCTAGGGTTAGGTTTTTCCAGTGTTTTCCAGAGGACCAGCGGTGGGTTAGGTTTTTCCGGTGTTTTCCAGAGGACCAGGCTCCAAGTTAACTATTTAGGATGTTTTCCAGTATTTAGGATGTTTTCCGGTATTTAGTGTGTTTCACGTATTTAGTGTTTTTCCGTATTCAGTATAACATGGTGTTTTCCGGTATATAGTATAGCCCGTTTTAGAAATACAATGGGCTTCCTTGTCTCACAAAAATAACATGCATAAATTTTATGAATATTGCACGATAAAAGTAACCTTGAATTTCATTGTTCACAAGAAATTCTGGATGAAATATTGGCCGAGGTGACATCAAAATACCTCATTTTCAAGTGGGCGCATAAAAACAATATATGACTGGTAGAGATTTGAGAGGAGATTCCAGGACTAAATACAATTAATGACAACATATCTAGAAAAAACATCTCACAGTAAAAATGACATATCCTTCATACAGTCTTTGTGTGTACATGTACATATCATAATTTAGAGATATGCATCATAAAGCAACCTAAATTCAAGCAAACTTTAGTTTACATAATCTGAAATATTTTGTTTTCAAGTGTTTATTTACTGCATAAAATAACATAACAGAATAATGGCTGAAATGTGTACCACAAAATGGAAAACACAAATTTAAAAAATCTTGATTATAGCTACACTATTTGTATTCAAAATTTAACAGCATAATTTTTTATTATTATACTGGCTAAAAGTTCTTTATTCTAGAAATGGATGCTTATAATTATATTGATAATGATCAATGTTAAGGAATTGAACAAATTTATCACTAGTGATTTGTGTTGTGATGGCACTCATGTAATATTAGTCATTTATTCTATAAAATTGATATCTACACTTGCAGTGTGAGAAAAGCTGCATCTAGATGGATGAAATTATTGAATTTTCCACTGGCCTAGTTCCATACTTAAAATGTCAAGACTTTGTATGAGTCAACTGCACTATTTAGCAAACAGCCTGATACCTAGCTTAGCGAAATCGTTTTACTTCAACGATATAATTTACATTTTTACTGCCTCACCAGAACATAATGCATTCACAGTAGCAGTCAAATTGAGCTTAATGGGGTTTTCTAAAGATTTTCTTGTGGGAGAAATTCTCTGATTGCTGCCAAGCTTGGAAATGTACAAGTCTACGATTGAATCACATAAATCATATAATTTATCATTTCAGCTTAGTTTTGGGAAAAAAAATCTATGAAATATATTGGTTAAAATTTTCCAATATTTGTCGAGCCATTTAATGGTGGGAGAGAGTTGAAGAGAAAAAATTAAATGTCAGCGTTGAACAATTATGCTTAAAGCAATCACATTTTTGTTGAATGTCGACATTTTAGTTCTATGTAAGAATTAAATGTAAGTAACAAAATTGCTTTAAGGCGGTACTTATGTGGTGACCTTCGTTTGACCTACAGGGCTGGTTTCCACACGCCTAGTAAAGGTAAACCTATACACTGATATTTGATTTTAACATACAGGTAAAAAGGAGACATTATTCTGGCAGAGGTAGAGGTCGCAGGTAATTAACCAATCAGTAAATGGATCCGCATGTTACACCACTAGTCTGTTATAAGCATACAGACAACAAGTTTACATTCAGTCTATAAAACCCACCCTACTTAACACATAATTATCTCAATTAGATAACCACAAAAAATCTCATTAAATCGGTAACAATTGATAACTGGTGACAACTGAAAAATGGCAAATATTTCAGCTACAATGTAAATGTAGCTTTCAAAGACCTGTCATAATAGTCAGGCTGAAATTCATTCCCTTCAGTCACAAATAAATTTTCTTACCATATTAGGATCCATCATATATTTGGGTTCTTTGACCATAGGTGGTACACCAGACAGGACTCCACCAGGTGGTCCTCCCATCATACCACTCATATCTCCACCAGGTGGCAGCATCATAGGGTTACCATCATTTGGACTAGGTTGACCAGGCTGTAAAAATAATTAAATTGAACTATTAATCTTGATATCAAATATTGTTAATAGTCATTTTGGTCAACTAATTCATTTTCTGGAGAATGGGAATACACATATCCAGTTTCTATACAGAAATATAGGTACATTTAGTAAAATACATGTACTTACAACAGTATTCCGCACAGCTCTATCAAACTTTTCACAGAATTCCTCTATGGCACTAAGCGACTTGGAGGTGGGTTTTGTGTGTTTATCCTGATCTTGCCTCATTCGAATTTTCTCTATAAAATTACACAAAAATGAGTTCTATTAATTTAAATTCACACAATAATAGTATCCATTTTATTTGTTCATTGAAAATGAAATTTAATTGCTTTTTACTGCTCTTTTTCAACAAAAAAATGTTGCAAATTACAATTACTAACTCATGCATCAGAAACTAACTGCATAACATACATGCAAGTAAATAATGCATATCATTGTGAAGGATGACTTCAGAATTCAATGATCACATTACATCTCATCAATAAGATAAAACAATTACTCACCTATTATACACTGATGTGCATAACGCAAAGCATCCATGATCACACTTTCCACTGCATAGTTGCCTTGATAATTTCCAGTTGGAGGATTCCGTTGTAGAAAGTTTTGTAACAGTTTGTCGAAATCAGCCGGTAAATTGCTGATGAGCTGGTAAGGGAAATTCGGAGAACTAAAATTCATGTCAGCTATAATTAAATCCCTTAATAACGGGAAGAGCGGATGAGATCGGAAGGCATTAGATCTATCTGTAATAAGATGTTGAATAAAGGATTGTTGTGATGCTAACATCGGTGGACGATTCGGTGATCCTGTCTTACAACTAGTACAATTTGGTATTGTGCATGGTTGCATATGTGGTACTCCTCCCGGTGTCATAGACTGTGGTGGCATAGCTTGAGCACCATGTGGCATCGTTTGGCCACCAGCACCAGCCATTCCTCCCATATGTTGAACACCCAAGGGTGTCTTATTGGACATCTGCATCTGTTGCATTTGCATATTTTGAGGGGTTTGTGGTGCTCCCATCCACTGATTACCTTGTCCCATATTAGATTGATTCACATTATTAGAATAAATAGGGGTAGCCATAGAACCTTGTTGTCGATTTTGACAATATGGCGCTTGATCGAATTGTTGTTGTTGTGAAGACATATTTTGATATTGTCCTGGCATAGAGTTTGTATTTGCGTTCATCATATGTGGATTAACACACGGACTGGGATAATTTGCACTCTGATTGTAGTTTTGGCCCATTTGGTTTGACAACATAGCATTAGCACCTTGGTTCATACCCGGCATAGAACAACTGTTGTTATAACCTTGTGACGTAGAAGACGCTATATCGGACGGTTGATTTTTATACATTTCGTTGTCCTGAAGACCAGCCATCACAGCTTTCATTTGATCAGTCATACCACCGTTATTATAATTTGCCTGGTAATTACCAGAGGAATAATCTCCCGTTTCTATTCGCATCATATTCTGATTATTGTCCATATAATACATATTGTCTGCATTTTTACCAGAATAATCAAATGTTTGCATAGACGATTGTGTACGACTAGACCCATTCCCTGTTTGACTAACACTACAACTACTTCTTTGATGATCATAGGGAAGGGGTTGTTGACCAGGATTAGGCACAGTGTATGGAGCAATCTCAGGCTTCACATTTGATAAACGCGGTAACATTTTTGATTGCATAGGTTTCTGAGAATTGTCTCTAAACTCTTGCTCCAGGTCATAACTTGCACAATCAGCTGGTGCATCATAGCCTTGAGCATAATTTTGCATTTGACTAGTATCCTGGCAGTCTGGACTACCTTGTGGAGAGCCTTCTGCAAAATGAACAGACTTTTGTTGCTGTTGTTGTTGCATACCACTTTGTTGTCTACAGGTTTGAGATGACTGAGAGCCCACAGACATGGCAGATAGATTTGACGTCGAATCAGATCTTTTCATGTTGTACATGGATGGTTGTTCTGTCATGGAAGACAAGGTATATCCGGAAGCAGCAGTAGAAGTTGGCTGACCTCGGTTAACCGAGTCTGATGAGTAATAGCCATGGTCTAACGGTGAGTCAACCTTGGAGTATTGGGAGGCTGCTGCTGGATCATTATTGTAACCTTGCATGTTCTGCTGTTGCATCCATCTCTGTTGTTGGAAAGTTTGAACATTAACAACAGGAGGTGCTGGTTTACCAAGACGTTGAAAGCCTTGTTGGGAGTTAGTGACTTGCTTCTGTGGTGCTGGACATGCTGGTCGTGGAGAAGTGATCTGACACGTCTGCCCATAGTGCAATGTACCGGGTTGTTTACTGGTGGGAGATTGAGGTGGAACCTGTGCCTTTTTAGTTGCTATTTGCTGTTGACTACAGGATGATAGCGGTGATGGTGAATAGCATCTTTTAGTAGCAACCTGTCCCTGACTGTAGGAAACTGACGTGGTTGAGTGTGTTCCTGTGGGCAGACTAGGTGATGGTAAAATTTGTGATGCTGAATGGGGTCTTTTTGGTGTCGGTGGGGTTTGGGGCATCTTGAAAACTTGATTAACAGATGACTGAGATGAACAGGATTTGGCCGGACTGTTCTGTTCTGAGGTAGACATATGAAACCGTTTACTGGCAGGACTACTAGAGGCTGACGAAGTTATTGTAGAAGTGGTGTTTGGTATAGAAACTGGAATTGATTTATTAGGTGTATTTTGTTCTAGAGGTTTGATTCCTGTAACTGAACCAGAATCACTGCCTGGTCCAGATGGAAGATTCACAATTTTATGATTAGAAAATGCAGGGGTATAAAGACCAGTTGTTAAAGCTTCTGGTGTCATGTAGGTTTGTGGGTCCATATCATCTTGTTCCATTAAAAATTCCACAAAATCCAGTTCCATTCCTTCCTTCATCCCAATATCCTCACAGATTTCATCTAAAAGCTCGTTGGGTAAACGATCGTCATCCATTTGAACCGGACCGGGTGATACAGGTGAATCTGAGTCAAAGCCGTTTGGTTCAAAAGAGAGGCCATTGCTGACACAAACTGGAGGACTAGAAACTGGATCACGGTATTCTGTCAACTAAAAAATAATAAAGAAAAGTTATTAAATCTGGTGTAAAAAAAAAAAAAAAAAAATCTGACATGTTAATACCCCAATGTCTCAGTTATTGATTCAAAACAATCTTCATCATATTAGTTTTAAAACTTACCAAAGAAAATTGTTTTTAGTTTAGAAAAAAAATTGAAATTAGAACATTTGGAAATGCAATCAGAATTTTGTTGAACTAAAGTCTTCAATTTTATCATGGACACTATTCTAATAACATAAAATTATCAAAATGAAAACAATCCCGTTTTATTTTCAGTTAATTTCTCTCATGAGTCATATCACATGAAGTCGTTATCAACACTACAGGAAATATAATGGTTGCCCAAATGTTTTTCTGGACGTTTTTTCCTGCTATTGATTTGATTAAATTTAATCAACCTTTCTACAAATTTTACTTCAAATTATCAGATATTGGGCAATGCTTGATTGCAACATTTTTGCCAGTAATATCAGAACAGAACACAGAAAATAGATTATGTAACAATTTTTAGTGACAGACGAAGGAATCTATTGATATTTGAGAATTATTAAAGTTTAGGTCAATATCCTTTCCTTTTGTTAAATAACAAGCTGACACTTAAAAATCTCAATTTTCTTAACACCATCACATATTATAGCTTGAATTTCTATTCCAGCTTTATTCAAGTAACTTCACTTAAAAGTGAGGCTTGATTTCAGGTAAAACATTAGAACAAATATAACCAAGCGGATGTTTTCTTGCTGATTATCATTTTTTTTTTAAAAGCTAAATAACAATTATTTCTAATTGAATTGTATTAATTACATTAACAGAGTATCAAATTACTTTAGTTCAATTCATGTTAAACTGTTCACAAATTACACAACCATTACATCAAGAATGTGTTATTCCTTTTTATTTACCAGTAAAATTAGAATAATTAGAAGTTATTAAACTTTGCAGAATGTAATATTTAAGGTGTACAAAAGGTAAGGACTATTTTACATTGAAGAGCAGTAGTCTAAGAGTAAACAATAACTACTTTAAATGTGTAACTGCTTGTGTTTAGTAACAAATCAATTTAGAACTATGTCTTAACAAAACTCTTAATGCATCTGGTGATTTTATGGCTACATTAATGAGCAAATTGTGATTTAAATCCTGTCTGATCATTACTTTAAATCAGCATCAGAGATTGTAAAAAAGTTTAACAGCTTTGTCCTATACAAAAATGTAAGGTGAATACTTTCCTATTTTCTATTACTTGTTGTTTATAGAGGAAATGGCCAATTACCAGTTTCCTCTTTGCTGATAACTATTTTACTAACTACTGAACTCAACACAAGTTACCATAATACTCTTGATACTATTCATAGTGACCGATTTTTTTTTTAAAAACAATAATCATATTTGAAATGATTTAAATATTTCTTACAAGAATAGAAAAGAACAATTCTTTAAACACACAATAAAAAAAATATCTACTGGGCTTAAAACCACTTTTTGTTATTGAAGATATTTTTGAATACTTTACATAGTACAATATAATACAAAATATATATATTGAATATACATTTAAAAACAAACAAGGGGGTCTGTGACTTCAAAAATCTCTAGTTTCCAAATCTCTTTTGTGATTGTCTTGAATGTCATGAGTTTTATGCATCAACAACATACTGTATAGGTGCATATAGATAATGTAGTAGTTACATCAAGGTAGCTAATTCTAAAAAAATGTTAATGTGACTCGCCTCAGAAATTATTTAATCATTTTAATTTTCATGAAAAACTTTAAACGCCTACAATGCATATTTTGGTAGACTGCAGAAATACATGTGTAGATCTTTATAATTGCAAAATGCAATTTAAGCAAAAGTATTTATAGAATGCTGATAACAGATTCATAACATTGATGAAATTAGACTAATCTATTGGAATTTATTTTTAAACTTGAACTGAGCACCAATATGGGGAAAAACTAAGAAAAGAAAAATCTTTTCTCCTTGTTATTTCTTCATTATGGAATCTATGCATTAAAGATACATTATGGGAGATTCAATAACGAGTTGGCAGTTCTCACTATAATAGTTAACAACTAGATAATGTAAAGGCAATTTGCTGAAAATTTCATTCAAATTGATCCACTATGAACCGAGAACTAAGCGGTTGAAATTTCCGCCTAGCCTTGATCACCATTACTAAAGTCAGTACGATAAACAGCATAGTCTCGATTATCCATTTAATCGTTAAATCGTGAAGGAAAGTTATGCAGTAAATCGCCTCATAATCCACTAAAGATCGCAGGCTAGCGATGCTACATGTATCTAGAGTTGATTATGGTCTGGATAAGTTAATTAATGTCTAATTAATAATTTTGATAACATTTCAGGCCTAAAGAAAGCTCTTGCATAATGTATGTTTAACTTTCTGGTCCATGTTCCGTTTTCTTACATTAATTTTTCCAGTTTTGTTCTTATTTGATCTGATTACCAACCGGTTCAAGTCAAGTTCAACTTGAATTTCAAAATGATTAACAGAAAATGTGACAATCATTTATTCATATACAGATGTGACCTCATCCTTTCATGTTGGCGTACCATTATTTCAAATAATGGTACGGGCAATGTGCCAAGCATACATTATTTATACTAGTTGCAATATTGGACCCATGTGACATATTTCATTGAAATGCACGTGCTGGATAGTGTCTGTATTTAAAGTTGTTTAATGGTCTTGTGTAAAACATTGTGTAATATATAGATATTGCCCTCATGCTACTTAAGGTCTCAAATTATAATGTTTGGGAAAAATCTGAAAAATACCTTGCAAGTAATTTTACTGTTATTTTGTAGAAAACTTTATTTCAAATTGTAGACAATCAAAATTGAATATTACTGTATATTTCAGGGTGGCTTCCGACATCTACATTTAGTATATTATTTTATCATAAATTCACCTCAAACTAAAAGCTGATTTTATACAATAATAATTTTAGCTAATGTATACAAATTTAAGTATTTAGGAATGTAAGTAAAACATGTTATCTACTTAGAGGGGTACATATTGAGTGATATGACTACCCTGTGTATAGAATAGTTCACTTGTGGTAAATGGGCTAATGGGAGGGAAACGGCATCCACCAGGCAAACTTCAGAGTCTAGACTGTGTATAGGTGAAACGCAGCTAACAGGCAGATAACCACATACCAACCAGCCTTGTAATTTTCCTTTAATGGGGTCAAGAGTCTGTGTGTAAATTAGTGATAAATGGCTTCCTATACACAGCCACCCTACCTTTATTTCATTGCTACTATTTCTGACAGATATGACTACATGAAAACTTACTTTAGGGTTAAGTGCTTAAGGTTTTCAACCCAGTTATATTCTTTTTTTTATCATTTTTTGGATTAAGTGAGTTAAAGAATGAACTGTAATGGATTATTTGTATATCAGATCAACATTATGATAAACAAAACACTATATTTAACTGATTTTATTATTATAGCTTCTTAAATATTTCATAAGCTTCTAGTCTTCTATATAGACAATTTCAAAAGCCAAACATCTGACAAAATCATAAAATCTGAGAGTATATTAAATCAATAGGTTATTACGTATACTCCAACCTGTACGTGTCATGCAGCACACTTTAAATGTATACCCAATGCAATATTTACCTATCTGGTATACAAGTATCAAATACCAATCTACACTGACATGAGTAAGTATCCCCAGAAGAATCAAGAGCCAGAAATTGAAATGTAACCTTAGAAATCTTGTAATAAAAGACTGCCTTAATCTTTTTACTGTACTTGAAATCATGATTATCAATTCAGTAAGGATAATTGCCTTGACCCGGGGCTGTTTTGTTAAGACTAGTACCCTAGGGCCAAGTAGCCCACCTTCTATTGTAGAAGAGGCCTAAACAAACAAAGGGGTGGAGAACTAGCCAATGGTCAACAATAACACATGATGGGTCAATCTAGGCAGCTAACAACATGTTAAGTAAATTATTTCAGAGTTACCAAGTATGGAGAAGAAAACAAATGAAGTTTTCAAATTATTATCTACTCTTTCAGAAATTCATCAGGGTTTGCCCATTGTTCCAATTACCCAACATTACATGGCTAACAGTAACAGGGTGCTGTTGCCAATATTTATCGAAGCTGGATAAACAGAATTTCTGTTTTGACAAGAAGTTTTTTTCTCTTAATTTATTTTTTATTTCAACCGGCTTGTAAGATTGTTGCAAAAAACTTCAGTATCAACCATTGAGTATTTTTGGCTGCACTTATCAATCAGTTGAAGTTTTAGCAGTATGTATTTAATTTCCACTGGTCTCCTCTAAATTAAAACTACATACAGTACATGTGGAAAACCATGTGAACAACTAAACAAGGACTGAAACTGGAAATAAATTAATTGGCTCAGATTTAAGAGAATTACATTTAGTGATTTTAAGAATTAATAGACTGAATTCAAGTCACCAAGAAATGAAAGGAAAAAAAATACAAAAACATTTTCAAAAGTTAGTTATATCATAATTTACAGTTGATAAGAAATGGAATGTAGTGTGGTTTGATGTCCTATTGTTCTGATCCAACTGGGTAAATGAATCCTGCCATCAAGAGTTTTGATTAGACATTGGATACTAAAACATATGCACGATACAAAAGGTGTGGAAAAAACCCAATTTCACAACTTGGAAAATTCCAGTGAAGCAGAGAGAGGTAAATATGAAGACATGGACAGACAGATGAGATGAGAGCAAAATGGATGATATTTTTGATGGTATAAAAAGATAATATAGCCCCTGCTGTGTGCACTAGGTCTTACTCCAACTTTAAATACATAGGAGGAGAAGTAAAGCCTATCCTCTAGCCATTCAAACATGGCAATTTTATCAAAGTCTTGTAAACACAAACCCTACATTAATTGTCTGAAAGAATTTAGTTTCAAAAAAGGAGATTTAAGTAGGGTTTATCGAGTGATTTGCCCTTGGTTCATTTGACAATCTTAATATAAGGAGCAGAAAGTCAGAAAAAAACTTAAAAATACAAAAGTGCAAGAACAATTTATCAGCTATGTCTGCTATTTCAAATGGAAAGTTAACTATGTCACAAACTGTAATAGTTTTCATATTTTTTATTGAGATATACTATAAGATTTTTCAAATTAATATTCATTAAACTTAATTTAATATTAATACGAAAATGAATTTGAAAATTAAAATTACATATATTTTTATAAATTATAGTAATAGTTTTGTTTCGTCATCTGACAAAGTTATTATTTTTCTGCACATCTGTTTACTTTTTTGTAAAACAAAGCAAATGGTCTTTTGTGAAAAAAAACTATTGATGCTAGTCTCTTCCAGATCATTTAATAACCATATTTAATGCTATTCATGATTTTTGTGTATTAGTGAAATTATAAGATGAAAGAAAGTATAATGGAGATTTAATATCTCATTAACAACATCCATCACGTAAATCAATCATTGTATTCAAATACTACATAATGATTCATTGTACTAATGATGGATTGGTCAAAACCATCACAATTTTAACTGACAAAATTCAAACTGACCAATCAGAGTATTGAGAACTAGTGAATGAAAGTAGCTTGACCAATCAAACATAGTAACTAATAGAGACATGTGCCAATGACCAATGGAATGATCTGAAAGTAACAACAAAGATAGGATCTTTATCCTCATTTGGCCCATTAGCAGATGATTAAGAAAGGCTTACAGGTGTGAGATGTAAGAGAGATAGGATGGTTGTTAATTAAAACTATTCTGGACCTCCCCCATGGGGAAACTCAGTCCTCTTCACACCAAGCCAACTGTTACTGCCAGCTTAAAGTGGACATATAGTGATGAAGGTCCTTGCTATAAACAATAGCCTACAATTATATAAAACCTACTCAGAAAACAAGGATGATGACTGATTAAACAATAATTACTAAACAATAGACAGGATGAAGAGAGGGAGTTAAATAACAATTGATAAAAATCAGTTTTAACAATTAATGTGCATCGATAATTAAATGAAGTAAAGTCAGTCAAGATAATTTTCACACCAAATTGATTTTTGGTATAACAATTAAACCTGATGTTATGTTGTATTACACAACAATGGCTAAACATAGATTGTTTATCTCATTTAGATAAGATAAAAATATTTCTATAAACAAAGCTTAATTAAAAAATCTAAAATCTTACTCTGATAAATCCAATTAAATTAATAAGCAAAGTTGAATATATTGATCAGTTAAAATGGATTCAAAGCCTACAGATATTTTAACTAAATACAAATAATAATTTTGGGGTAGCCTAACCATATCAAATTGGTAAAAAGGTATCACCATGACTAATTATTTTAATATAAATGTGGTCATAAATTAGCATAAATCATGTCTGTGATATCCCAACAGATGGAAGTGGATGTAAACCTTTATTAAGTAAGAAATAATATTACTCAACTCTACCTATTGAAAAATGAATAATAAAATTTGTCATTATATTTATAAGATATATATGTAGGTGAAGAAGGTTATAGAAGTATTGTGAGGTTAGAAATTGGGGGGAATGGAATGGAAATTTTAGGTTTTACCAGTAAAATGTAAGCTGATATTGTAAACAAGATGTTGCTTGTATTAAACAGATGCTGACAACTAAAACCAGATGTTTTTAACTTTTCTTCTATAATATATATAGCTTTTTTACTTATCTTACTAACACTAGGCCAACACTACATAATTCATTTACCTATATACACACTTAGTTTACAAAAGATTAATTAAAAGGAAATGTTATCAAAAGTCAAGTGAAGATAATCTATTAATTTAGAACTACCCTAAAGACCAATCTTTAATTCTTTTACAGAAAGATGAGTTCATGTATTGAAGTATTATTTGGCAGGTTATTTGCGGAGTATATACTGGTACATGAAAAAAAATTTGAATAAAATCACTGTAAATCGTCTTAATATTTCAACGTTCCTTAAACCCTCTCTAGACAGTATGCAAAGCCGCAAACTTTTACTAGAAATGAGTAACAGAGTTTATATGACCTTTAACCTTAAAAATTATAAAATATGATAGACCATTTTCAACATGGCTATATTCCACACAATTTGGCTTGATCAGGGATGTAAAACCCATAAAAGGCAACTCAAGGGACAATAAAACTTTTACTATTAAACCATAGAAAATTGCTGTGATTAGCATTGACATTTGATTTGATAATAACCGGCACATTAAGTTCACTACAACATTTTAATGTTAGTTATGATTAATATGGCCCGATCTATATGGAGATAACAGAACAAGCAGAAAAGATACATGGGGTGGGTTGTATATGAAATCTGTCAGGTGATTTGAATCAAATCATTTTCGTTTTTTTCTTACATTCTACTCTGGAAAATCTGTTGAACATCTACATAGATGTATTTGAAAAGAAATTTGAGTAGGTGTGGGTGGGTGGAGAGTGCCAAAAAATCATGTCTAGTTAATAACAAGCACTTTCTGGTGATTTAAAAAAGAAGGAAATTGGTAACTAGCAATCTATCTTAGTAAAGTTACACCTACATTATATTATATAAGACTTTACTCCAGTACCGTATATATATAGTTTTACATTTATAAACTGAATGCAGAACAATCATCAATTACTCCCGTGTCTTGTAGAAATGATATTTTGGCAGTCATGATGAACTATAACTCTTTAATTATTGGAAAGGAAATGCACAACATGTGGGTTTGTTTTTGCTCAAGATATTTTCATCTCTGTTTACTCAAAAAGATCCTTTCGACATATTTTCTCACTTATACCGGTGTTGTTTTTCATGCTCAAGATTGCTCCTTCCCATAGGGGCACATAGCCAAATGGGTATTTTGTTGGTATGGTCGAAACAGATTTTAGCCAGCTACAATATTTATTGTATTTTGTTTTGGAAGACAGAACTAGATTTGTAGTATTACAAGAATCTTGTGTCTAAGAGAATCTGGTATTATTCGCAAGAAACCCTAAAAGAGTAAGCATCTATTGATAAATTTCCTTATTTTAAGACTGAAAACTTGCGTATCCCTCCTTTTTTACTCTTTCACTAGTTGATTAATCAGTACATTAAGCTATTATTAAATCCCTAAACAAGATGTTACTCTTTTATTAACTTCCTAATCAATATATTAAATGCTAGATATATCAATGAATCAAACTTTTGTAAGTTTCCCACATAAAAATTAAGGTCTGAGGTCAAATACCATTGCTTACATTTATATGCATCAGATTTCAACTTTCTACAAGGATAAATTCCTTTGAAATAATTAGAAGATATTTAATATGGGTATTGACAGGGCTTTGCCATTTTTGCATTTTTCTTTAACAATGTCAAACATGAACACAGTCTATTAAGGAGATGGTCCATCAGGTTCTATATTCTAACAAAATATAGTCAGTGACAGCTACTTGGTCCAACTTTTAGAAAAATTTGAGGGATACATGTATCTCTTTTTAAGGCAAGATCTTCCTAGGATTGTAAAATTTAATATGGGTATTGCCATTTCTATATTTTTTTTTACAATGTCAACCATTTAAAAAGGAAATGGTCCATTGGATTTTACATTCTAACAAATATACATGTATTTCGGTCAACAGTTAGAAAACAATTGAGGAGCATCTCCTTTAAGACCAACATTTTATTTTTTTTTTGGGGGGGGGGGGGGGAAAGGAAATCTGAGTTCTTTTAACTTACATTTCGAAAACTACATGCCACTTCTCTATCCTTCATATCCTTCTTGTCTAGAACCATGCCAACAAATTTTTTCATGGCTGGAGTTTTTTTTGGGGGGGGGGGGGGGAGAAGGAAATCTGAGTTCTTTTAACTTACATTTCGAAAACTACATGCCACTTCTCTATCCTTCATATCCTTCTTGTCTAGAACCATGCCAACAAATTTTTTCATGGCTGGAGTTTTTTTTTGTTTTTTTTTTGGGGGGGGGGGGGGGAGGAAATCTGAGTTCTTTTAACTTACATTTCGAAAACTACATGCCACTTCTCTATCCTTCATATCCTTCTTGTCTAGAACCATGCCAACAAATTTTTTCATGGCTGGAGTTGGTTTCATTTCGGAGGGCTCCTCCTCCAAGAGCTTAAAGCTCGTTATTTCTTTATTTGTTTTCACCGCCATCTTGTTCTCATTCTTTGCTCTGAAATATAAATTAAAAAATTAATTTTACAGAAAAAATTGTATAGTTTACAGAAGCTATGTTTGGTTGGTTTCATGTTGAATTGAACAGATGGGACCTCTACTACATACATGTAAGCTTCATGTAATTATAACTAAAGAGAAGAGAAGTTGAAATTGGTCATTAATATGATCAATAAAATTAAATCTAAGGCAACAATTAGGAATGATTTTAAATTTTTATTTTATTAATAAACTGTGCACGTTATCACCTAAACATGAAGATTTATATAATGGTCAATATAATTAAATGCAATAAAGCAATAATTAGAAGAGATTTTAAAATTTCATTTCGTTTTTCAATAAAATGTCTGAGATATCACTCGAACGTCTTTCACATGACAATTTCTATATTGGATCTTTTGTATACCAAGAAGACATAAAAGTACATGTACATTTAAATAAATTTACATTTATCAGAACCGACACATACAGTTTATATATTTTGGGATTTTAAATGACAGAGAGGTATATCAAAAGTCTGAGATATTTAAAAGTTAAAAGTACATGCACCGTGTCAATCATGCACGCTATATCTCTCCACATTTAAATTATATAAAAAAAATCAGGCCTTGTGACATTTTGAGAATGAAGAAAAATTCAAATTTACACAGCACTTCCACCATTTAAATCAATACAAGGTGATGGTGTATTTTGTCATTTATTTGCTCGTAGTTACCTTGTGACCTTTGTATGGGTAAAATTGTTTAAATATAGCCCTACCACCCACCCTGTTTATACTGTTTATCAAACAGTCATTCATTCACTGAACAATTTACACAGAAGGCTTCTGTCTCTAAATCAGTCTTCATTCTTTATAATAACTTTACTTAACATGAACCACTGATTTCTAATGATCAACACACTACGCCCAACCTAATACATGAACTGCTAAAAATCAACAGTAGACTTAAGCCAATGAAAAAAACACTTTTGTTCCAGAGCCAAAATTGAAATAGAATTTATTTATTTTCAATCCTAATAATATTGAGCCGGGGAAAATATTTAATTCTTTGGCAGACATTTATCCAGTAAATTCGAAAATCAAACATTGTTAGTTGGTGATTGATAAGACATTATGTGTGAAATTTGATCAATGCTAAGGATATATAAATATCTTTAGAAAGACAAGCTAAATCTGCCTATCTTACTGGGAGAGAATCAGGTTGAACGGAAGGTTAGTTATAAGGTTCTCACGAAGATTGAACTACATACCTAAGACAACCCCACGTTCACAAGCTCTACAAGCTATCAATTATACTAGCACAGGGTTCTATGAATGGGGGAAACTAGTGTTCTAGAGATCTAGGTTACCTAATATAATGCAGTGATTTAAACTTGAAGTTACATTTGCACATATCAGTTTCAAAATAATTATCAAGTCTGTAGAATGAATGGAACCTGATTTTCCATGATTTTCACATCTTTACAAAATGTCTTGATTGAAAGGAATTTATTCAAAATTTATAATATTTAAAAAATGTACAAATAATTACATATTTACCTTTGATCTTATTATATTAGATATATTTTTGAAACACATGTAACTAAGCCAGAGCGATTAACTAAATATGATGGATTCCCAACACTGACAAGTCATACATGTATACATCCAAAGCACAGTAGTATTGTAGTCTAAACCAATAATATTACAAATATTATATACATGACCACCATAATGTTATTTCTCTTCAAGTTCCTTAGATTCTAATATTCCACCTCATCCAAAATAAAACAACTACTATCAGTGATCAAGATAAGTTTCACCTACTAATCCCAACAGTTCTCAATGGATTAAAGAATAATGATTAGATTAACTTTAAGATGACAGATTTATACATCTTAAAATAATAGACATTAACTAAACAAAAGGGCTATCATCATCTAAAGTATAAAGTGTTATTGAATGTTATCACTTAATGTGACACATCACACGCCTTAAGCCAAACAAGATTAATATTATCCAATCATTGTTGCATCCTATTGCCTCCGGCACTATATGTTGCTGCTATGACTTTTAAACGAAAAACATCACATTTCGATAAATGTTTTTTTTCTTTACCAAAGCTGAAAATGTCCAAAAGTTTTTACTTAAAAGTTATATATACAATAAGAGAATATCAAACGCTCTTATGTGCACACGTTACTGAACGCTTCTGTATTATAAGACCAACTGTTGTCGAAATATTAACTTTTCACTCTTCTAGTCAAATTCAAAGTTTTTCAGAAAAACTTCTCTTTTTGCTATTTAACCATAACAGCAACTGTTTACGATTAAAAAATCAATGGTGTTATTGATGAGGATATTTCACGTTTTTGAATTATTACTTAAATTCATCTAAAAATTATAGCTCTGGGCAATATTCCATCTGATATAAAGATTTGCAACATAACGTGATAAGGATAACTGATGATTTTGCCTCGAGCTATTCACTTGTATTTTTCATCATTGATTGGTGTGCCATACTGTATTTTAAAATAAATATGCCTATTATTTCTTGCCAGTCGAGATCAATTTGCCAGCAACATTATATGATGTACAATATTACAACACAATGGTATCATGCCGTCCGAACATATAACAATGTACATATTAATATAAAGAGGCGATCTTTATCCCAGTAGTTGTTTCTCACTGATGCGTCAACAGAAATGAAGCTTGCCTTTCGTTGATTTATTAGAAGCTTCCAATCAATTGTTACTAAATGATTTTTTCATGCTTTAATACAGACATTTCTAACCAAATGCGAATGTGTGTGTTACCGTTCATAGACCTTGTTGCAGCTATCCACTGAAGCAAACACTCAATGTAAACAATTAAAAAATTATTTGTTCTAGAGCAAACAGAGAAAGTTCAACAGAGCTCCACGTAAAAATTCTATCTGGAATAATTAGTTGCAAATATCAATTAAAAATTTCATGCATTACTACACCAATAATTTCCCATAGCTTTTCCAAGCTTATATGGTACTGTAATAAAACACAAAATGTCTACATGCATCTATGATCGATTCCAATTTACATCATGTCCTTTATGGTCTAATTAAAATAATATTGCTTTTTCTTCTTTTCTATATGTTGGGTTTCACGCAGTACATGTATAGACTAAGAAAAACTTGAAATCGGAATGGAACAAAAAACAAAAAAACCCTGACAGTTTCATTAATTCCTTCCACAAGAACTTTAAAAATTATGCTAGATATAGATTCATGTATCATAACTTTCTTCTTTTTTTTTAAATGCCAGATTTCACACAGGATAGACTAAGACAAACTAAAATCAGAATGGAACACAAAAACTAATACAGTATTATATTTTCATCAATTCCTTCCACAAAAACCTCATCAATTATGCTAGATGTAGATACATGTACCTTGCTGTATTTTCCCCTTTTTTAAATGCTAGATTGCCCACAATATAGACCATAGAGGATCAACCAGGACCGAAATGGCACACAAACTAATGCAGTGTTATTATTTTTTCCATTAACCCCTCCCACAAAAACCTCAATAATTAAATCATGCTAGATGTAAATATCATACAGTACATGTACCTTGCAGTATAATAACGTTTTTGTTGCTATTAAAGGACAGAAATACTCTTAGAACAAGTGTAAACTTTTACCTGGTCTATTTCTTTGTTAATGACAGTTTTATTACACATTGTAGCTTTTAATTCTAATCTAGTTGAAAATGACAACAATTAGGTGTTAGTTGATGTAATGCTTTAAACAAAAGAAAGGGGGTAATCCAACTGAAAGGTGTTACCCCATGGACCTCCCAGGAGATGTTCCACTGTACAGGTAATCATAGTTAACACCTATGTTAATTAGACTTACCCAGGAAGCCCACCTGAATACCCTGTGAACCTGTAGACAATAGATTTGACTGATTACAATCTAAGATAGTGTGCTATGGGCGATAGCTCAGTCTGTTGGGCAAGGTATGTAGTCAGTTTGGAGCCTTCAAGGGTCAACTGGTCATAATGTAAGATCATTCTCCACTTGAGAAATCAAAGACCCATGATAGTAATATAAATATACAAATATGAAATATATATGTAATGATAAATGTACAGATATACTTATAATTTACATACTACTACTGAATAACAGTAACCAACACTTTACTTGATTTCTAATATCTGGTCTCTAGAATACATTCCTGAATTCCAAAATTATGCCTTTCTGGCTTAAAATGTTATATAATTATTATTTAGGCATTTATTCACATGACAAGCCCATAATCAACTCTATACCATCAAATGGCTAAGATATTAAGTGGGTTAGACAATGTCTGTCATATTGTCTATAAAAGTTAATCTGGCAAACCGGGACTTCATCTAATATCGAAGCAATGGTACTTGACAAACAGAATATTGAGCACGATTTCTTATCAAAACTTCAAACATTCATAACTTTGCAAAGAATAAAGTAACTCTATAGAAATTTCAATATACAATTTCATTATCTATTTTAAAAGTACAATATACATGTAGCTAGAACTTTCAGCTCTTCATCTAAATCATACATAATGCATCTTATTACTGAGTACATGTATGTGTAAAACTTGATAGCATTAAGAATAAATGAAAAATTATTTAAAGATTAAGTTATGCGTTAATACAGTGTAAATGGAAATTTCAGATAGTAAAATGAAAGCCAACTATAGCAGATGTGTATGAGCTAATGGAAGTAATGTAGATGAATCAATATTAGAACCATTGTAAAATATCAATATAATCATCATACACAATTCATACATGCTGTTTACTACCATTCATCAAAAACATTATAATTTATTGCTTTTTAAATAAGATTTTTTTTTGATATCAAAATGTTGTAATACACAATTCATGCATGTTATTTATTTAGTACAGAAGTTTATTGCATACATGTACCAGTATAGAACATCCAGTAAAAAATCACATCATTTAAAGAATGTTTATGGTCCTAGTAAAAGA